TCCATTCGGGGGCCTGCGAACTATACACGGGATCTTCCCAGCCAGGAACTTCAGACGGGGCCATCTTCGTCGCCAATTTTGTTCTGCCAATGACCAGGCCCAACAAAAATTATAACACCAGCAGAAAGATGAACCAATACACAGACTGTATTGTAGACAAAAAGGACGTTCCAGGAATGATCGCTGGGGGTACAAACAGATCAATCAGCTGGTACATGATCGATACCACTCCCAACGATCCCACAAAAGATGTGACTGGGCCCACAACAGGTGGTATAAACAGTGACCCGAGGTTGCCCACAGTTGGCATGGGAAACAGCCAGACCAGTAAGTTAAAGACATAAGAAAAAGGTGCCCACATGGCAACTCTCACCCGATCGGCCCGCGTTCGCAAAGGCCTAAACAGACCAGGGCCCTGCTCCAGGGAGAGTCAGGAGGTCTGCCCTGAACCAGGAAGCTCTGGGGAGTGCACTCCACAGACAGACACTCCTGACTCCCTGCCAGTGGTCCCAGCTTTTATCCCCAAGCAGACACCTGACCTTTGTCAACTCAGTGCGGGACCCCTGGGGCTCATTTCCCTTCTGGCTCTCCCTGCAGGGCCGGCCGCACCCTGGGGGGAAGCTATAAGGCAAACTCACCACCTCTTTATGAAGGGCTGTGGGAATCACCCATATGTCAACCTTAATTTGGGGCTCGGGGTTCAGACCCCAGCATTTCAACTGTCTCTGAGGAAGTAGTTATTAATGAATACTTAGGAATATGTAAATGCTGAGCACAGTGTGAACACAACTTGCAGGAGTATCACTGGAAAGAGCTTTTGAGGCTGTTTGATTTGCCATACTTTTTCTCTTCTGGTCTCCTGTCAAATCAAATGGTAGCTGCTTGTGTTCATCTTCCCATCAAAAAGCTGACAAATTCGGGGTGCTTCCTAACCACTAAGCTATTAAAACATACAAATTAGAACTGTGGTTTAGTTAGATCTGCTTTTTTTTAATTCCTTACCATTGGTATTAACTCTCTGTTTCTTCAGTTTAGTTTGTAGTACTTTTGTACCTATGTATTCAAATATACTTTAATATGTGTGTTCCTTAATACAGTTTTCAGGTTCTGGTAACTGCTTGATTTTTAATTGTACAGCTCACAGCAGCATATTACTCAAGCTGAAGCTGTGCTGCAGAATCTACAATTTTGCCTTTTAGGATATTCAGGTAGTTAGGTGTACAAGGCCTTTTTGTTGTCTGAAGGTAGGGAAATCTGCTATGGGAAGTTATCTGGATTGTGATTTTGCAGGCAGCCTTAAAAGGAGGAGTGCTGTCACAGCCACTTGCTTTAATGCAAATTTATACACGTATCAAGAAAAATCTTATTTGTTAATGAAACATTACCCTCTAGCCCTTTGCTGTGAGAATCTGTGAAATGTTTTGGGTTGCACAGTTTTAACTGTGTAATTCTCATGAAATTCAGAGGGGTTTCTTTTTCGGTAGGTGTTGAAAATAAGCTACACTTAGACTTGTAGGAACTAAAATCAATATTTTAAATCACAGCATAATAGGTGTTTGTAAGGTACTATGTAAGCCAGCAGTGGTGGTAATAGTGAGCAGAGCTAAGAAAAGGTAATACTGTGATCTGTAATTTTTCATCACAAATACGATATCTGAGAGAGTTTCAGGAATTACATTTATTTCAGTTACATTGCTGTACAATTATGAGGCCATTATGTGTCTCCTTTTTCCTCATCTATGCTTTTTTTTTTTTTCCTCTTGTTGGTAAAGGGTGCTCGAGTAGGCAGAATAGATGCTTTTGTTCAGAGCTTGGACAAAAATTTTATGGTTCCAGTAGGTGGTGCTATCATTGCTGGCTTCAATGAGTCCTTCATTCAGGAGATCAGCAAAATGTATCCAGGTAACTGCAGAAAATTGATAATCACCTTTCTTTCACATATTTTTTTTTTTTTTCGCCAATCTAATCTGTATATTGTGGTTTGTTGTTTAGTTTTTGTTTTGTTTTTCAGGAAGAGCATCTGCATCTCCTTCCTTAGATGTCCTCATTACACTTCTGTCTCTAGGTGCCAGTGGCTACAAACAGTTACTGAAAGAAAGAAAGGTAAGCTTTTTGGTAGGCAGCACTTCCTTGAAGTCAGCTGTTAAAGTCTTGTTCAAAACTTCCTTGTGTAGTAGATCCAGTTTCTGTCTGGAAAACAGTTGAACTGCTGAGCTCCCAGCTCTGAATCTGGAAAGGCAATATGTTGTAATTACTTCTTGGCTAAACAGTGCTTGTGAGTAAGCATGATTTCTGTGTTGTTTCCCAAGCCAGAAAGTTAAACTGAGGTCCTGTACTATCTTGTACAGTACTCATATTTGTTCTAAACGTGACTGATGCAGTACAATTTTTTCCCACAGAAGCTTAATCTGGGAAGTAGAATGCATGCTGAGCTATCATGGTCACACTGCTCCTGGACTAAAATATGAGATCAGACACTGGGAGGTAACCCTGGAGCCTCTGCTCTTCTTCATCTGGCCCTGTCGTGCCTTTGTGCTGTGATAGGGTTTAATTAAATGTTTGTGTGCCACATTCCCTGGAGAATCACAGCTTTTGGTTAAGTTTTGAAAGCTGTGCATGGCCACAAAAAGAGAAAAATACTGTCATTTAAGGTATTTTTCTAGATAACAGAGGTAGGTTTCTTCTCTGCCCTTCACAGGCTGTGTGTTTTGTGTTGGACGTAACTGCATCACACAAACACGAGTGGTCTGAGGTTGGAACTGGCACCTCTTCAGGTGTGCTTTCTTCTGCATGTAGCACAGGCTTCATTCTTCTGTCTTTATATGTTAACACAGAGGACTCTTTTTCTGGAGGGTTTTAGGTAACGAAACGCTGTGAATTAAGTACTGTTGATAGTTTAAAATCATGCATGATCTGCTCTATCATTTTATTTAGAAACTACATTCCAGTTGGTTCCTTCTGATAGCTTACTGATAACCTCCCATTATCTGGCAGGGCAGTAGTGCTGGATGCTGTGACTTGTTTCTAGCTCCTCGTAGAGGCATCCAGAAATTCTGAACTGGAATTGAAATCCCATAGGAATAGTTAGACTACAGAAAACCATCTTAGTGGTCTTATGACCACTAAGAAGTGATCTGTGCAACTCAAGTGGAAACACAGCTTGTGAAATGCTGAAAGCAGTTACTACTTTTGCTACCACTGCAATACAGTTTCTAACATTTTATTCTGGACTGCTGCATGTATTGCCATGTATGGTTTGTGTCTTCTTTAAAAGCAAATTGTATTTTTTCCCCCTTCACTTTAATCTCCAAAAGAATCTCAAGTGAATTTATCATGTCTTCTGCAAAGCTGATTTTGATGCTAGATTTACACTGGTAGAGGGTACATAATGGGCAGTATAAATATTCTCCAAGAAGTCATAAATAATAATTATTTCATAAATAAAATGCCATAATGAATAGCTATATATTTTGAATCACGTCGTTTGCTTGGAAGTGGAATTCTAAAGTGAATAAAGCATTATGTTTTTACAACTTCAGGTATTTTTATTTCAAATGTGAGTATACTGTGTAAACACAGCCTTATATATGGCATAAATATCTTTCTTTTATTAGATTTGCTGTAGAAATAGAAACCTTTTTTTTCTCTTCAATCTGTTTGTTCCTGAATTGTAAAAATGTAATAGTGACAGTTTATTGCCTGTGCTCTGTGAAAGCAGAGGCAGAGCTATTAGGCTCCCAGCAAGAGCTATTTATAGCTTGACATTGAGTACTCCTTTCTATATTGGTGCAGCTACACCTACTTGTACAAAAAGTCAGCTATAAAAAAACTTCAAGTGTGGGTTGTTTTTTTTTTTTTTTTCTTCTTACCTTATCTGTATTCACCTGGGTATTACTTCAGGTTATTTGAGCTCAAGCCAGGAAGACTAGAATATTACTGAGAAGAGATTAATCTCACACAACCAAGGAAAGAAATAGTCTGCTCGGTTGGTTGTTCTTTTACATGGATGAACTGTTTAATATAGGAAGGGGAGAGATACAAGGGAGAGGACCACATACATGGAGTGGGATTTTCTGACAAGCTGGTAGTTTTGGAGTGTGCAATTGTCCAAGAGTATGAGATTATATGTTAATGATATGAAAGAGTAAAGTGGTGCAGAGAGTCTGAGGACAGAAGAGCAAGAGAGTAACACACACATGCTGTCCAGCTCTCTGAATAACGGCGGCTGTAGGTGAAAGCTTAATAAGGAATGTTTTTAAACTGTCATATTTAGCCTTGATGTCTCCAGAGAAAGGATGATGGAAGGAGACCACAAGCAGTCAAGTTTACTCACTTGTTCTAAATTTTCTATATTCCTTTTTTATATGTTTATGTGGTGTTTAGAGCAGTACCACCCCAGAACTGATGGAGGGCAAGGAACCCTACATTCAGGGTTTACTTCCAGGACCCTACATAGCAGGTTTAATACATTTTCCAGTGTGGTCCTTTTAATCCTTTTAATTATTATACTGTTATTACTGAAGAGGTGATGGCTTCATTTTGTTTTCAGCAGTTACAGTGTCCCTCATTAGACCTCCCTCAACAATCTCATGATCAAGATAGTTCTGATTTTCTTAAATGTATTTCTGTGTCGCTTGGGACATGATGGAGCTTTTTATATCTAGATCCATCTGTTGTACACTTTCTAAGAGTGATTAACTGGAGTAATTTTTATGTCCTTATGGAGTATGTATCTAAAATATTTAAAATCACACTGAATGGGAGAAAATTGTTTGGGTTTTGCAATTTAGTAGAATACTGGGTTTATGTTTTGTAGTTTATCATTGATGTGATTATTCTGATAGGAATAAATTATTTGTACAGTTCAGCATGAGCTGATATTCCTGCCCCACTTATGATTGAATTTAAGAATACAAGAAAAGCCATTTAATGCTGGATATTAAAAATGTAACAATCAAATACTCTTACAACAAGACAGACATTTGTTACTCTTTTTTATTAATTGTCTAGACAGTTTGCTACATCACGTGGGAATACTGCAGGATTTTCCTCATGTGAAATAAGTGGAACTGTATTCAAATTTTGGAGTGGCTGAAGGGAAGATAGTTTAACTGAATGTAATCATTGTCTTAAATGGTAGTGTGTAGTTAAACCACTGCCAAGTATGAATGGAAGCTTCAAAGAGGCCTTTGTACTTAAAGCATGTGTTGGAGAGTTCTGGCCCACAAGGAGCATGATCTCAAGGTCCTGCGAGTGCTGAAGAGAAAATGTGTTGATTAGTGTTGTAAGGAAAGATCTTTTTTTTTAAAAAAAAAAAAAGTGTGGTGATTGTCAGCATCAGCTGGGCAAGACTTACAGGGCTTTGATGTTAGGCAACTTTTATAGGATAAAAAAAATTTTAAGGCTTCATAATTCATTTCATATTTTTAAAATCTTCCAGTATATTATAGTTTCAGAACAATATTCTTGACCTTGCAATGCAGGAGAGCCTATATGTGAGGGTATGTGTAGGTATCACACGTACATGTACAGAGGCTGTCACATGTTTGGCTGCATTTCGGGAAACTTAAGCCTTCTGCTGGGGCTCTCTGGGACATGTATGAAAAGGTCTCCATGCTTGACACTGCTGCCTCTCTGTCTGCATGAGGTCCTGTGCCAAGTGGCCTGATGAGGTGACAGGTCAGACGCAGCTGGCCAGTCCAATACCCAAAGCAGAGGAGAGGCTGTGATGGGTGCGCTGTAATCAGCTGCTGCAGAGTGATTTAAGCAGGACCAGATCAGTCTCAGGTACGTATGAGAGCTGGCAGCCTGTATCTATTGCAAAGAGGTGGTAAAATGACTCTTCTGCGGTGCCATGGGCGGCTGTGTGGCTGCTCTGAGGACAGCTCATCTTTTCAGGTGAGGGTGAGAGAGGAAGGCAGAGTGTTACAGACTTGGAGCACAAGCAAGCTGGGCAATGAGAACCAGCTAGGGTAATTTCAGCCATGCGCAAAAGGTTTCCTGGCCTCCATCAGTTCTCTGTCACTTGATACAGGACTAATGGTGTATTTAGTACACCCATCATCTGCTTTCTTTCTGGAGTTACTGGCTGTTTCATTACTTGTTTCCCTCTAGTTATTTTCATTTGGAAGAACAATGCTTATGACAATGGAGCAACCTGTTAGTGCAAATTCTATTAAAAAATAGTTTTAAAATGCAAATATGGTTATGATTCCAATATTTTTTATCATTTTTACAAAACTTCGTCAAAATATTTTTGTATACGTATGTGGAAGTAGGACATTTTGTCCTAATAATTGAGTCATTTGATGCATATGTCATTGTCGACTTGTTCTTCCTGTTTTTTGAGGTCTTTTGTTGTGTTAGGTGCTAGAAAGACCAGAAGAAGTGCGAGACATTTTCACATTGTTTAGCATGCATTTTACTAGCCTGGTGAGGCTTTGTGATAAGTTTCTAAGGGAGCAAGAGTGGATGAAATAAAACTTAACTGACATTTAGTGCTTGGTTTGTTCAGTGCAACTTTAGCATAATAGCTAGCTTCATTGGAGAAAACTTGAATGCCTACCACAGGAAATCAATTGTGTAAGAGCTTATTTGTATATAACTGCTTAGAGTGCTTATAAATTTTCCACACAACAGAAATATTTTATAATAGAGGTTAGGTATAGATTTGACCTCACAAAAAATACTGTGGTTTGTTGGCTGGTTGGTTGGGGTTGTGTTGTTGTTTTTTTTGTTTGGTTGGGGGTTTTTTTTGTTTTGTTTTGTTTTTTTTTGGAAAGGCTGTTAGTCTATTTTGCAAAAAAAATGCTTATCTTCTGAAACTATGAAATATCTAGAGGGCTTCCAATGGAAGGATGCAAAATAGTGTTGTTTATACATAAAAGTTTGAAATTTGTGTTCAGATAGCTTTAAACTGATGAAAGTATGCTGTTGGATTTTTTTTTGCCATCCTTCCACTCTCCCTTGTTTTAACAAATTTCTATGTATGTAAAGGCTCATCTAGTAACTTAGATATTTTATCTGTATTTAATTTAATATATTCATGTAGTGGGTAACTGGTTATGACAACTTGCAGTCCTTTCAGTAACAGATACTGTAAGAGATGCAACAGAGAATTCTCGAGGTACAATACTCAAAAACTAATTATATGGGATTTTTTTCTTGTTCCAGTACAGGGTTTTCTCAGTACTAATTTCACCAATAATATCTCCAGAGTAGACACAATTTCTGTATATTTCTGTAATACTTTGCTTCAGTTGTTGAAGTAAATAGCCAGCAGAGGGAGCAGAAATTAATTTATGATTTAGATTCCAAAAAATTACTAACAAAATGGCTAACACATTGGTGATGCTTATTGTGGAAGGCAAATAACAAATGAGTAATGTGTTTATATTTATTCAGTGAGGGTGCAAAAGGAAAGCAGTAGTGTCTGAACACTTGAAACAAATGTTTTTCTACTTCTTTGGGTGAACTCGAAATAAAGTCTGATTAACTGAAACCATAAAATCACTTGATTTTCAAATGCCTCTGAAAAGTAAGAATGATTTTTCAAAATTTTCAGGTTCTGATACCCAACCATAGATGCATCTCAAAATGTTTGTTGTTGTTCCAAAAGTATTATAAAAGGTTTGTGTTCTTGTTGATAGTTCAATCAATAGCTGAATTTAGACAATAAGATGGTACTTTTTCCTCGCTGGCTTGAATTAATTCTATGATATTAGGAAGAACAGGTCAGGAGGTGTGTTCATTTGGTCTCTTGTGAAGTGAGACTGGGCTCACTGCAGTGGCTCAGGAAGAGCAGCTGTAACGTTCTTCTAACTTAGCTGCCACAAAGTTAATTTGGCTTCATAAGACCTTTGGGAGGTTCTACTCAAAAACATAATTTTGATCACGAGCTATAATTTGTATCTGTCAGAGCGCACAGGTCAGAACAGGATACTGGCCTACAAACAGAAGAGGCAACTCTATTTAAAGAATGAAAAATTACTTGTCAGGTCCAGAAATTGATGAGGATGCTTAAACAGGCAGTCACAGTGAAGCAGATGAGCAGCACAATCTTTATGGCCAGAAAGAGGAAAAATCTTTTAGTGCCTTTTAAAAAGTCTGACTAGTATCCATGTCTTTTTGCTAGCTTTTTATGAGAGAGTAGGCATTACAGAGGATGGGAAAGAAGCCAAAGTATACAATAAGAAGAATGGTGTTAATTCTCACTCTGTAAGTGTTTTGAGCTGATATGTGAAGAGGAAGATATTAAACTGAGGAAGAGCATGAACAATTATCATAGATGACTACTGGGGAAGAAGGAGGAACTAAGATACGGATGAAGTACAAGAAGCAGCCTTTTATGTGCAGTGTGACTTGCGCCTGAGCCAAAACATTTATGAATCTCAGTTTTATGATACGTTCACAATAAAGGTGCAGGCTAATGAAGTGATAGCAGAAATGCAGGTATCTCTGTTCTTTAAGTGGGCTTGAACAGGGGGGAGGAGGGGTTGGTCACGGGAGGAGAACTGGCCACACACAGAGCTCGGGATTCGGGAGCGCCCGTGGGGTTGAAGCAGAGTACGTTCAGATGTGTACTCAGCCTTCTCCTTAAGAGCTGGTGTGGCCATTCTCCTACAGGAGAAGGAGTCTATGTGCTAGTGAGAATTGTGGTTGTTTGGTACATGGTAACAGAATGCTCTGCTTTTAGTCTGGAGTGTATTAATAGGAAACGAGGTAAGTAGCAATTTGCCATGGCCATCTGTGATGGCAACAGTTCATTCTCCGTGGCTAGGGGAGGGGAAGCTCTTGCAGGAGTTGGGTGGGGTAGGGCCTGGTGTGCAGTGGGAATCTTCAATATTTTACCTCCCTAGGTTTCAGGGCCACAGAGAGAATGACTGGCATTCCAAGCACACACATTAGACCAGGTAGAGAGTTTTGTACCAGCTTGAGGGGGGAAGAACAGTGTTCAGGAAATGGAGCTGTTCCTTTATAGAATGATTTCAGAGAATTGTCTGCTCTACTTACTTGGTACACATGAAAAGAGGATCAGCTGGGCACCATATATAATGGAGACTTAACAGCTTTGTGAAATAGGTACCATTTTCTCTGTTTGATAGCTAATAACAAAAATATTGCCTCTTTTTTTCCAGGAGATGTTTTCCTATCTTTCAAGTGAGCTGAAGAAGCTGGCAGATAACCACAATGAGAGACTGTTAGACACACCACATAATCCCATTTCCTTAGGTAATTGGGTTCTTTTTTATCTTTAAATTTTTTTTTTCTGATATACTGTGCATTCATAATGCACTTTCACATACAGTTCCTGTATATTAAACATTGTTCACTCCATTCCATAAAATTGTTCTTAGGTTGATAAAAAAACATTGAACTCAATAAGGTAACTTACTATAAAAGTAGAGTAGTGACTTGAGCCCTTATTTTTTACAAAAGTGCTCATGTCCAACATATTTATTGTAATCAAGGCAGGCAGTAGATGTTAGCATGTTGTAATATTTTATTAAAAAGTAGATTTAAAAATAAATTAGGGTATAACTATTTTACACATCATCTTACAGTGCTGTAAAAGAGATTATGGAATTCCTACTGAAGATCTTTGTTCTAACCAAAAATTGTGCTGAACATCAAAGTAATACTGCCTACCTGTGCAGAGTCTGCCCTATATACAGTCTAATAAAAAAGTAATTTATGACAGTTTGTGGTAAAATTAAAATCTATGAAATGTAGTTTTTGTATTTCTTTTTTTCTTTGTATCAGAACACAAATATTTGGCTAGGTTTTTATTGCATACTGTCCTCTGTTTTTTCTTCGGAGAAAAAAAAGCTTTGTAGTGGTCTTAACCTGACCTCTTGTTACTTTAGCCATGTCACTGAAGAATCTAGGTGAAAATAATGCTGCTGCTGTTACCCAGCTTGGATCTATGCTTTTCACAAGACAAGTTTCTGGAGCAAGGTGAGGATGCTTTGAATTTGAAAAAATTTGGAGGTTGTATTAGCATATATTTTATGAAATCTTATAATATTATTTGTTTTGCACAAGTTGTGACATGATTACAGATTACAGTCTGATGAGTTGGAGTAATATACCCTTCTTCATCACTGTTACCTGCTGATAATGTGTACCTGTCTGAGTCAGCAATGAGGCCCCCTCTGTTAGCTTTGGTAGGTTAAATAGATAATCTGTGCCCATTTAATTTAGTGTCATGATTCCCTAGTACTCTTTGGTTTCATTTAGTTTCCAGCTGTTGTCTGATCTTATAGTTAAGTTGTAAGCTGCTTAGGGAAGATCTTTGTTTTGTTTATTGCAGCACAAATATGGTTGTGCTGTATGTCAGGGGAATAAGCTTTTAATACCCTGCATAGCTTTTTGTCATATGGAAGAAAATCCTGCTTTCCAGAACTAATTGTGTTCGAAAAAAAAATAAAAAATTTAAACCTACAACATGACCCAGTCTGAGCTGCTTTTATTTTTAGAGACATTGGTATGTGAAAATGCAAGCTAAATAATTTTTTATGATTTGGGTTTAAACCTTTTAGAAGAAGAGAATTATTTAAAATTTGTTTTGGCAGGATTCCTTAATCTGAATATTACTGCTGCCATGCTAACTTCTGCCATAGACTTAATGTCATTTTTTTGTAGTAGAGCTGAATGTTTCCACATCAGAAGGTATGCTTCATTAGCTTGGATTATTCCACTTCCTGCACAGATGAATGACAGTAAATCTATACGTACTGTAGTTAGATGCTCTTTTTAATTTGCCTGTCCTAACCTTGGCTTGTCCTGCAGTTTCAGCCATCTCTGGCTGAAATGTTTCAGGTTATTCACTGGTTTTGAAGTTACGGTTCCCCAATTCTTTGCCCAGGGTAAAGGTTTCAGGTTTTTCCTTTTCTTAAACAAGCAAGTAACACTTCTGTAGTAGGTACACTGTTGGACCCAGCATTACAACAGATTCTAGATGTTTTGCTTGTCCTGAATATCAGTGATCTATCAGGAATAACTCCCTGCTTCAGTCACATACGGACTTTTGCATAACCTGTGGTCAGAGCAGTTGGACAGCGGAAGGAGCTGTGCATCCTCCTGGTGCTTGTCTGAGTGCAGTTCTTTTATGAACCACAGGTAATGTCTCTGTAGAGGCAGTAAATTCTTACCAATTGATTGGTGTTAACTGCTCGTGTAGGCTTTAACTATAGCCACAAGGCAAGTTGTTCCTGTAACAAGTAAGGATATGGATTAGGATCTTGATTTATCAGGGAATGTATATGTACTGAGGTGCTGAGACTTAGGGTGTGCAGGTAGAGGTTCTTAGTACGAGAAGAGGTAAAAGTGGTTGCAAAATTATCTACTGCAAGGAGGGAACAAATATGATGTTAACATCATAGGATGGGGGGAAAAGGGAGAGGCAGTAGAGAGGAAGGGATGGGAGGGAGCTGGGATCCTGAGCGCTCTGAATCACCTGAACCCAGACATTTTGGACTGCAGTACAGTATTCTAGGCAGACATCTGCACTAAAGGCTGCTGTCCGTGTGGTTACCCAGGGGAATGCAGGGCCAGCAGGTTGCCAAGGAGAGGTGATCTGCCCTAGCTCAGATAGCTGGGGCTTGTTACAGAATGGGAAAGTTTACTGCAGGTGTCTCTTGCCTCTGGACTGGAGAGTTCATACACACGTGCACACAGACGGGTGATTCAGATCTGCTGCTGCTGCCACTCTTCTTAGCAGTACTCGGGCACTAACCTGGAGAATGCCTGATCTAAGCTTGCTTACATTGATCTGTTTAGAGTTAGCAGACAGTACAGCCTATAGGAGCTTGTGCAAATCTATTCACCACAGGGCATCAGATAAAATATCCAAAGCCTCTTTAACTGAATCACAATTTTGTTTGTTTCAGAGTTGTTCCCTGTGGGTCTGTCCAAACAGTGAATAACTACACTTTTAAAGGCTTCATGTCACATACAAATGATTATCCCTGTGCTTACCTCAATGCTGCCTCAGCAATTGGAATTAAAAAGCAAGATGTAGATGTATTCCTGAAAAGACTCGACAAGTGTTTGAAGACTTTTAGAAAAGAAGCAAAGAACGAAAAAAGTGTAAATGAAATATGTAATTCTAATACAGGCACAGAACAGCTTGAAGACTAGAAGACAGAGATTTAGGAACACAAGAAGATATGCTTTTGTTTGAAGTATGTTGGGTTTGTACTGAGGTAACATGGTGGATCTGCAGTGCAGAAAATTTATTCCTGATCTGAAGTCAATAGCAAAAAGATAGGTGAAATCAGCTTTAAAGAAAGTAGGTGATACTCTCTCCAAGACAGAGGGCCGGACACCATGGTTTTTTTTCAGCACGTAAATGTGCTTAATATCTGCCAAAGTGAAGCTTTACATTCGTGAAGACCTTGAGCTGGCCCTTTTGGTCTGTGGGTGGACCAGTGTTCAGCAAATCACAGAATGCTTATTCACATGGGTTTGATTAACAAGATTTTCTGTGTCAGTGATCGAATTCCTTCCTAGGTATAGACAGCAAGAAATGTTTCACTGCTATCAAAGTACCTCTTGTTTCTCATCAGCATTCTTGCTGCTTTTCCTTTATTTTTTTAAGATTTACATTAAAGTGTTGGGATAGTACTTACTAAATATGGTAAATATGTTAATGAGGAAATGATGGAGTTGGAATAGTAGTGTTTGTCAGGTGTTCTAGTCTCTCATGAACTGTCTTCAGCAAAGCATCCCTCAGTGGAAAAGAAAAACCTTGAATATCTCATATCCTGTTAGTACTCGGGTCTTGGAAACATCTGCCTGGTTCAGAAACCCAAAGGAATTTAAAAAACGGAAGCAAGAGGTTGTGGAGTGGAGAGGTACAAGCCTCTTTTTTCTTTCTTTGTTTTATTCTTTCCTGTTTTCTTTTTTTTCCATTTCATCTTTTCTTTGATAGGGTGATCAGGTGAGAGCCCCAGTGAAAAGGAGGAATGCTGTGTGGGCTTCCTAATACAGCAGTTTAAATAGCCAGTGAGACCTGCAGGTGTTTTGGCATTTTTAATCCATTGTTAAAATTTATAGACTTGCGTTTCTAAAGTGTATCTTGCCATTGGCACTGTTGTTTCTGGGGCTCTGTGCAGTTGCTGATTTGAATTCATTAAAGAAACAATAGATTCAGAGTCTGTTCCTGAAACAACGGTTCCGTATCACAGGAGTGACAGGTTGCAAAACTTTTAGTTAATTATTCTTCAATGCAATTACTGCATTGTATGTGGTTTTTATGTCATTTACTGTTCAAAGTGAGCTTAGTGTTCAAAGACATTTGCTTTGTCTGTAATGTTGTAATACTTGGGACACCACAATTAATGAGTTCTAAATGTCAGAAGATATTCCCGCTACTTTGTTTGGTGGGGTGTGAGCCATGTATGCTTCAGAGCCCTCTGTAAATTGCTTAATCAAAATAGTGGTGCTTTTGAAAGGATTGTCTATCCAGCGTGTTCAAATTAATTGATACAAGAGGTGATGTTAATATGCAGAAGTTAATAGCGTGCTAATCCTGATGAAGGTGCTCTCATTTGGTGAGGTCCATTGTATCTGAAGCTTAAACTGAACTGCTGCTTCTGCGTTGTCAGCTCACCGCCCGAGTGTCCGGCGTGCTGGAG